AACAATACCCTGCATCCCAGCGAAGGGCTATGCATTCCACTTGACACATTATAAAAGGTGATTTACAAGATAAACCTCATAAGCAAAGATAAACAATGTTCAAAGTAAAAAGAAAATACAGCCAGAGTCAACTGGAGAAATAATTGTAAAAACAGGCACAAGTACAAAAGGGGTTCCAAATTTAGCCTGGGAAATCCTAAATTGCCTTAGTTTCATCCAAGTGCCAAAGGCCCTCATGATTAAAGTAGTGGTTCATTCGTGATTCTCTGCATGATATAATGAACACCAAGCTTCTATTTAATTAACATCTGAAATTCAGGTCTTGGAATGGCACTGAATGCTAAAAGACTATATTTTTGATTTTTAAAATTTTATTTTGAAGAAACTTCAGATTTACAGAAAAACCGCAAGACTGTCACAAAGAGTTTAATACCCTTAACATAAATTCACAAAATTTATCATGATAAATCTCTTATGTATACTGTTTTTTTCAAAACTTTTCACACTAGATTCACATATACCATGAACTTTATCCCTTGACACAATTATTCCCTAACAACAAGGATTATTCTTTTACATAAGTATACAGTAGAGTTATCAAATTCAGGAAATATTACAATGATAATACTTTTACTTTATTAAAATCCATGCTCCAATTCTATCAATTGTCTAAAAATCAAGGTTTTTGGCTTTTTTCCCTTTCTGACACAGGATCTAATTCAGGGACACATATTGCATTTGGGGTTCATATATCTTTATTTCATCTTTAACCTGAAATGTTCCCCAGCCCTCCTTTCATTTTTCATGACATAATTTTTTTAAGGCTACAGGCCAATTCTTTTATTGACTATCCTCCAACGTGGGTTTGTCTGCTGTTACCTCATGCTGCAGATTTTAGCTTAACTATTTCAGAAGTGATGTTGTGATCTTCTTGAAGTATTGTATCAGGGGCCAGGGATTTAGCTCAGTTGGCAACGTATCTGCCTCACAATCATAAGGTCCCAAGTTTGATCCCCGGTACCAAAAAAAAGAGAAGTATTATATTTGGAGACACATGATGTCCAATCTGCACTCATTTGCTATATTATCATTTCTTCATTTGCAACTAACAAATGAAGAGGGAGTTAATGTGAGACCATGTTCATAACTTGTTCCTCAGGAAACTCCCTAACCTCATTTTAGATTAGCATCCACTGATGACACTCCCCTGAACAGATCTCACTGTGATGATGATTGTTGTCTTTTGTTTGTTTGTTTTATTAGCTTCTTGAGATAGGGTCTTGCTAGGTGACTCAGGCTGGCATTAATCTCATAATCCTCCTGCCTCAGCTCCCAAGTGCTGGGATTATAGGTGTGTGGCACCATGCCCGGTGAATGTCTTATTTATTTATTTGTTTGTTTATTTAATATGATTAGCTGAACACTCATAGATTATTAATTTACTCAAGTTATATTTATTTATTTATTTATTTAGGTACGGGGATCAAACTCAGGACCTTGTGCTTGTGAGGCAGGTACAGTGTCACTTCAATCAGTTATATTCTATGACTCACTCAAATTGTACTAGATTTGACAGTAGGAACCCTTTCAAGCTCACTTTTGGATCCTCTGACATCTCCCTAAAATCTTGAGGGAGCTGTTGCTTCCCACTCCAGCACCAGAATCACTCATTTCTCTAAGAACCTCTAGTTCATCTTAGCGAAGAATAGTATTTAGAACCTAAGGTAGGGAGATGGGTATATTTGAATTCTGAAAAAAGAAAAGCTATTTCTCATAGGAGCGAAGTTTGTAAAAGAGGTACACAAGGTGGGCACGGTGGTGCACACCTGTGATCCAGCATTCAGGGAGGGTGGGCAGGGGATCACAAATTCAGGCCCAGCCTGGGCAAGTGCTCAAGACCCTGTCTCATAATAAGTAGTAAGAAAAGGCTGGAGATGTAGCTCAATGCTAAGGCCCTGGGGTAGGGGGGTTATACCAGATTCTACCCTGGGTGATAACAATGGAATATATTACTGGTCCAGCCCATTATGATTTACTCTATAAACAATACAGATAATTCCGCCCCAACTCTGGAGACTATAAAACACTACAATGTAACTGAGTCTTTACAGTCACGCTGTTCCATTTACCTGCTCTGAAGGAGCATATAGCTCTGACAGGATCTCAAAATATTTGTCAAACCCCTTAGAAGGTTATTAATGTTTTGTTTGCAACCAAGCTGGTCCAGGTTAAGAGCTTTCTTTTGAGTTACTAATACAAGTAAAATATCAAGAGCAAGAACATCGCATATAAAGAAGTAGTAAAATAAAGAATACAGAAGGGCCAGGGATTTAGCTCAGTGGCATCGCTCCTACCTCGCAAGAACAAGGTCATGAGCTCGATCCCTGATAACTCCCCCAAAAATCCAAAAAGCAGAATACAAAAAAGTCTATTTCTAGTCATGACCTAATGAGTTAAAACTACACTTAGCAGGGCTGGGGCTGTGACCCAGCGGTAGAGCACTTGCCTAGTAATTTAGCAACGCCCTGTCTAAAAATAAAATTAAGAAGGCCTGCAGATGTAACACGAGTAGAGCACTTGCCAACATGTACAAGGTCCTGGGTTTAATCCTTAGTAACACACACGCATACACATACACACCCCCTCCCTGGACAACAGAATCAAAGCACTCCCACAGATAAGTACTTTCCATGCTTCAAGGGAGCACCTCCATTTTTAGACAAAAAGATATTTTCAGAAGAAAAAAAAGGTAAAAAGTATACCAAATACAAGTTTTTACAATGAAAATTAAAGACTCTGCAGTGGATTATGAAGCTTCTTTCCATAACATCATCCACACTGTACAAAGGCTTTTAGGATATGACTATTTTTAAACCATTAAGGGATTCAGGAAAAATACAATACTAAATTATGTACTTAAGCAACAGAAACCTTGTTTAATACATATATATTTAGTACTTTATATATATGAGCTAGTTTTCTACAGTGTATCTGAGGTAAAAAGGTAAAATGAGAAAACTTGAACTGGGACTTAGAATACTAAGTTCTGATCCATCAAGTCATTATATGACCTTGGGTCAATTAGTGAAACTTCAATGGATTTACACAGTGTTAGTTGTGTAATGAAGCAGTTAAAGCAAATGGCTTGTAATTCTTTTACTATTTCATCTGCTATATAAATATATACCATAATCACTAGATAGAATAAATTTATAAGGCTAATGAGATGTTTCCACAGCAGGAAACAGAATTTAAGCTAAACAGGTATGGATGGCTTTGATCAATGGCCTTGAGCTTCTCACCAGCAGAGATTATTCCGAGAGAAAGACCTCTGCATTTTAAAATGCTACTACTTCTTAGAAAGTCACTATGTGTGTCAGGTGCCACGCTGGGCTCTTATACACACTGGCTCATTTAGCCCATGTCACATGACTTGGGCAGGTATTTACCTGTCCCTCAGTGCAGACAGGGCTCAGAGAGACTAGACGGCCCAAGGTCAAGCAGCCTGCAAACAGCTCGACTGTCAAACCCGGAGGAACTCCAAAGCCTATTCCTTTACCCACTCCATTTCACCAACTCCTAATAAATAAATAAATCCTGAGCCAAAACCCTCTTATTCAATCTCTCACAGGTACTGACTATTTCCCTTTTTATTCAGTAGAGAGAAACCAGTAAAACTGGTAGCCAACCAGAATGTAACTCCAAATTAATCATGTGAACAAAAAATTATTTAAAGTTGTCTATTTCTGGGCCAGGGATTTAGCTCAGTGGTGCCGCTGCCTGCCTCACAAGCACAAGATCTCAAGTTCGATCCCCATTAAAAAAAAAAAAAAAAAGTTGTCAGTTTCTCTTTTTATTGTCTATGAGACAGGCTTTCGCTACATTGCCCAGCCTAGCCTTGAACTCCCGGGCCCAAGTGACACTGCTGCCTCAGCCACCCGAACAGCTAGTGCTACAGGCATATGCCACTGAGACCAGCTAAACATATGCATTTCTTAGAAATGTGTCTGTTATAAGCAACCTTTCCTTTTAAAAAATAGTAGCAATGATCACTGTGTCTAGAAGAGTCTCAAGGGCAACATTTTTATTCATTCTGCCTTTAGTAGACCAAGTTACACTGAGGTGACATTTGGGCCACAAGAAAGTGGGGCTCTGAGAAGGGAGCTTCTCTCATGACATCAGCGTGGATTTCCAGACTCTGTCATCATCTTCAATGTACTGTGAAACTCCTACATAGCAACTCAAGGTTCAGAGACAGGGCTCTAACACAGAGATTCTCCTCTTGCTTCACATCAGGCCACTGCGATGGCAAAGACTGTGCCGTTACTGACTATCCTCTGTGGCTGTATAGCATATTAGGAAGCAGGACGAACAAGGTCATCTAAATACATACAGTTCCATGCACTAAAAAAAATGCCTAGTGAGTTACTTCCATCCCCCTGGGACCATAGTGACTCTCTATCTGTCCCCCCGCCCCATTTCCTTAAGACACAGCTGTCTTGGGCTGGGGATTTAGCTCAGTGATTCTGCCGCCTGCCTCACAAGCACAAGGTCCTGAGTTCAATCCCCGGTACAAAAAAAAAAGAAAAAGACACAGCTGTCTCTCAAAAAGAAAACCTCTCAGAGAATTTTCAAGGCTAGAAGCAACCATTTCTCTAAGCTGAGGAAAGTAAGAGTATTTTACAAAGGGGATACATAAGGATACAAAAATAAAACCAGCAAAGATATAATCATCTGGACAGGAATGGATTTTTATAAAGTAGATATTTCAAATGTTTCTATTCCCCTATAGAATAAATGAGCTCCTCTAAAACACAATGTCCTCCAATCAAAAATAGCATTACTCATTCTGGCTGGCCCCCAAACTTAATTCTGGTTCTAAATCTGGGCTGGTGTTCCCTAAAATCTTACAGAAATAGAAAGCTGTGCCCGTTGTGTACACTGTGGATCTACTCTGTATCTCATTCAGTCACATAAGAAAGAGAGCATTAGAAAATTACCCTTCTTAGATCCGACCCTGGATGAAGCACTGAAGAATTTCTTCACTGTAGTAACTTTGCGGGTCTTCTCGTTGGTTTTCTTTTCTTCAAACTTAGAAAATGTGAGAGATTGGGCTCCCTGGCTGCTCTGACTGCTGGCAAAGGCCTCTTCCTCCTCCCGCTGAAGCCTAAAATTCAAAAGAGGATTATAAATGATCTGGATTTTATCCAAGTTTTTCTTGTATCAACTAAGGAGGATCTAAGAATTTTTGTTTTGTTTTGTTTTTTGTTTTTGAGACAGGGTATCACTATGTAGTTGAGACTGACCTGGAACTCACTATGTAGCTCAGGCTGGTATTGAACTCACAGAGATCCTCCTGCCTCAGCCTCCCGAGTGCTGGGATAAAAGGCATGTGACACCACGCCTGGTTAGGATCTAAGAATTTTATAACTAGAGGCTAAACATGCCAAATGAGTTTGAGGTCTCTGATAGAAGACAGCAGCACATAACTGCTCTACATGCTCCTACAGGCTTCAAATGGGAACTTCTCCTTGGGTTATGTGCCTGTGTCGGGGTTATGTGAAAGCCTCGTCCAGCAGTAGTGAACCTATGGCATGCGTGCGGCAGCCAACACACTGTTATCACTGAAAGCTCTAAAAGGTTCACCAACACTGTCCTTTTCTTTGTTAAGTTCAAGATGAAACGGAGACAGAGATAAGCAAATAATTACCGTTTTAATGGGATGGTTCATATAGAGAGAGCAGAAACCAAGTTCTGTGAAAACACAGGGCAGAACTTAACCTGCTATGGGAGTGGGAGGTTTTTACAATGGTGATATCTAGGCTTAGAGGAGAAACAGGATTCTACTGAGTGAAAGGATATCCACTCCCAGGAGACGAAACCCCAAGTGTGAATGTGTGCTGCCTGTCTCACAGCAAGCTCAGTGTGGGCAGAGGACTACAACACGATGGGCTGTGCCACTGGGAGCATGGGAAGGTGTCAGAGGGGAAGGAGACCAGGCAGTGAAGCCCACTAGTATTCTGGAGTTCATTATTTGGCAAGAAACCAAGGGAGATTATAGACCAAGAAAGTTTCATTATCAGATCTGTGCTTCGGAAAATAATACAAGTGACTGTCTGAACAACTGAAGGGAAAGAGACTAGTGACAGAAATAACAGGAGTATATGCTAAAGTTTAAGTGACAAAATAAGGGCCTAGAAAACAGTTAGAAAGGATGAAATTCCTAAGACTTTTCTGAGCTAGAGTAAACAGAACTTGCTCAGGGAATTACAGGTTTAAGGAAGGGGGCTGAAGGAGACATAATGAATAACTCCAGGGTTTTTAGCTAACTGGATATGCAGTGAGGTACACAGAAGGTTAGGAGGAAAATGCTGGGGATGGAAAAGGAGTGAACAGAAACTGTCTGGGTAAGTCTCAAGCACTATCTAGAAAACGGCTTCCAAAGAGTGATGACCCAGGCAGACAGCGCAGCTGCCCAAGAAAGTGTGAGCAAAGCAGCCCCTCTGGTCACACTCCCAATGACCACAGAGACTCGGAGGGTGAGGCCCAGTTGTCACTGTCCTCACAGGCTGTTCAGAGGATTCTGATACCTGCTCAAATGTGAGAAATACTGTGGGATACCCATACCATGATGAACATAATCATTATTTACTGCAAACATGAACTAATGAAAATCCAATCTTCAATAAGGTAATTTAGGCCAGGTGTGGCGGCGCACTCCTATAATCCCAGCACTGGGGGGGGGGGGCTGAGAGGGGGGTCG